GAATTGTATCTAAAACTGCTGCTGTATTCGTACCTGTATAGCCAATGGGAACCGGAAAAAACCCAGAGGAACAGGGCCCTACCGTATCATTCAAGTCCAGTTTTATAATTTTAAATATTCTTAATACTACTTTTTGTGTTGAGCTGGACCAATACAACACCAGACAATCTTATCATTTAAATAATCATCAAATTTATAATAACCTTTTTTGCGTAAAGTAACTCTTACAGTTTTTTTAAACTTATTTTTACTTGACTTTTTACTTTGACTTTTTACTTTGACTTCGTTACTTTGTTTGGACTAGTTAGGAGGTGAACATATCAAACCCCCCCCCCCCCCCGGCTTAAGGGCTACGGGCGGGGACTTTTGATATGTTCACCTCCTAACTAGTCCAAACAAAGTAACGAAGTCAAAAATTGTGTTCTACGAATTTCCCTCTATACCTTTTCGTTGCCTGGACTATTTTGAATTCATTGAATGTTTAGTTTATCTTTGTTTTTCTATTCTGAACGTGTATTTTATTACGAAATAAAATATGATTATGACCATCGATTCTGAACACTACTGCGAACAACTGATGAGAAAGAGCGGCAGGAATTAATCAACAGAAAGGGTCTGGTTTTTCATAGTGTAACGCTAGACCTCCGCATCTTTAGCCACTTAGCAAAAATTAAGGGTTTGCCTGCGAGGTGTTAATGCATCCGCCGTATAGTCGTGACCTTGCCTTCAGACCTTCAGATTTACACCTGTTTCGTTCTCTTTAGAATTCTATAGGCAATATCAGGTTAACACATCAGGTCAAGGGCGGATCCAGGGGGGGGGGGTCATGACCCCCCCCCCCTGGGCTGGGTACAGATGGACCAAACCAAGGGGGATTTTATTTAAGTACTTTCAATATTTAATATACGACGACTATATGACCCCCCCCCTGGAGCCAAAGCTGGCTATATGACCCCCCCCTGGCGCCAAAGCTGGATCCGCCCTTGCATCAGTTTATCACGAGAGGACTGCCAAAACCACTTGATCGTAACATTGAAAGACTCCAAAATTTCTATAGCTATGGGATCATGCCCGTACCTACAAGATGGCAAAAAGTTGTCGAACAAAATGGATGTTTTGAATCTTCATATAAAATGCGAAGAAACTTTTTCCCCAACCTAATATAACATTAGACGCTAGTTATTAGCTATATAACCCGTAGTCTGCGGGATCTAAGCATTGCGAGATTCTTCGTCCAAGTGCAGGATGATCTACATCTCATATGTAGCTTATTATAATGCTGTAAGTTGCTGGGATGTAGGTAGATCATTATAGTTTAGCGGGCTTGCTTACAAAGCCCGGCTTAGGCTCAACAGAATTTCTACGTCAGTAGGTTAGATAATTACGATCGAAGCTCCGAAGCTTTCACAGGTCCATTTGATAATTAGTTTGATAGTGTTGTCAATTCTGTCGTGATTCTTTAAATCTTAAATTAAATAAGCGTATCCTTGTTATTCTCTATACAGAATGAAGAAAAAAGACCGATCTTAACTTTAGTTAAAGCATCACGCTAGAATAGACACCAATATTGCAAATTAAATGATTAATAACTAGACTTGCAACGAATAGTATATTCGGCAGTATACCGAATACCGATTCGGCCTCCTGACCGAATATTAGACAAAAGTATTCGGCTGGACTTTAGCGCCAAAAACTTGTACAGACGTGATTGTTTCGCGCTCCTTTGTTTTGTTCTAATCTGCCGTCCTCAAGCTAAAATACGGCTAAATGACAAAACCAACCTTTTGAGATATGGCCAAAAACTTTAAATTATTGCTATTATGTAACCATTCATCACATGACTGAATGAATTAAAAACTGTTAACTTGTTTAATACAGAAAATAATTAAATTATGTACCTGTTTTATGTACCAAAGAAATGAGAACCTTACCCTTCTAAATTTTGATTACCACAATAATTTAAATACATAGAATACTCCATTTTTCCAATTCAGAAGATGATTATAAACCTGTGTTATGTACCAATGACTACTTAAATGATTATTTAACAGAAATGAAAATATGAATATACACTTCTGGACACATCTATTGGCCCACCTTGTATTTTTAGTTTCGTTTGGTCCTAGCTAAAATTTTATATTAGGTCGAGCAAAAAGTTTTTATGCAGTTTTGAACCTGGCACATTCACAATTTCATTCAATAGTCTTTTTTTGAATTTCGAACACAGAATTTAAAGAAACAAAAGACAATTTGGAGCCTGTTTGTTGATATCAAACAATCGAATACTAAGAAAACTTGGTTTTATTGGTTTACTTGGATTTAATTCTTGAAAAAGTGATTGGTATCTTTGGTTTTGCAACAAACATTACATAATCTTAACATTAACGTGAGGTTCTATCAATAATCTATGGATACTTCACCTGAAGTCGCCGCCCAAGCTGTGGCACTTATTCAGGCCGGACACAGCCAAAGAAACGTGAGTGCTCAACTTAATTTAAGTCGATCTGCGGTCCGAAATGTTTATCGGAGGTACCTAGAGACTGGCGGCTTTGTTCGTCGCTAAGGAAGGCCACGATCTCGGGTCACAACTGAAAGGCATGATCGATTCATCGTGACGACCAGCTTGAAAAATCGTCACCTTACCTCCATTGAGATACAAAAACAAATTCGCGACTTCCACGGAGTATCTGTGAGCGCCCGAACTGTTCGGAGAAGGTTAAAAGAACGGTACCACACAAGCCAGCTAATGGGCCCAAACTAACGCGAGCCCACCGAACAGCGCGCCTTCATTTCGCACGCAGTCATTTAAATTGGACACAGCAAGATTGGAGCCGTGTACTCTTTTCTGATGAGTCTAAAATTGTGTTACATGGCAATGATGGAAGGAAGAAGGTCTACCGACGTAAGGGAGAGCGTTTCGCACAATGCTGCTTTGAAGAGAGGTTTGCTTATGGCGGTGGCTCATGGACTGTCTGGGGCGGTATATCCGCGAGCGGCAAAACTCAACTTGAGGTTGTTACAGGACCACGGCTGCCAACATTAAATGCTGAAAGGTACATTCGTGAGTGCTTAGAACCTCACGTGATACCATACGCTGACTATGTGGGCCCAAATTTCCTTTTTATGCATGATAATGCAAGAGCCCATGCGGCCGGCATCGTCAGAGAATATCTTCGGGATGTGAACATCACAGTTATGGACTGGCCAGCCAGAAACCCAGATATGCACCCCATTGAGCACATGTGGGACGAGCTAAAAAGACGTGTTAGGGCTCGTCAGCCAGTTGCCCAGACGATGCAGGAGTTGAAAACTGCCATAGAAGAGGAATGGGAGATGATCCCTCAAAATTTCATAGAGCGGTTGATAAACTCTATGCCTAATCGTATGAGAGCTGTGGTAGATGCCCATGGAGGCAACACGCGTTATTAAATTAAACCTTTATTTCATAAAACATGTTTTTTATTCAAAAATCAATTGCCTTTAACAAGGCGCATATCCGACTTGTTAGGCGTAGCTCCATGTCGTATGGTATTCTGAATTCAAATTTAAAACAATACGATCGAAAAAGATGGTAAAATGTATCAGGTTTCAAACTGCATTAACAGTTTTTGTTCAATCTAGCAATCATATTTCGGTAGGGGCCATCGAAACCTAAACTCTAAGGTGGGCCAATAGATGTGTCCAGAAGTGTATAAGTACGTGTACAATCGATTTTAATTTTTCATTTTACCAATTATTTCTCTATGACAAAATATATTATTTATGTATTCGGCCGAATAATATGTAGATATTCGGTATTCAGCCGAATATAATAAAAGCAGCCGAATAGTCCGAATAGTAACCGAATATTCGTTGCAAGTCTATTAATAACATTTTAACATTCACCTGAAAGATTTTGCTGTGTGCAATAAACCTGCCTATTGTATATCTGATCTAATCTGTTTGTTAATGTTATTTCGTATCCTATGTTATGTACAGAATATTAATATTGACCTAATAGTAAAGCATATGACTAGTAGACGCCTAAATAAAGGCGCATTTACGCTTGGTTGTTAGCCTGTATTCAGGTGCTAGTGCATTAGACATTACTCGAATTCGGGCTCAATTCGGCATCATTTCGCGGCGGAATGGAGTGTATCGGAAGCGTCAATTTCGCCTCGTTGCGCATGAATGCTCAAGAATTCTCGCGACTGCACCCTAGCGGGACGTACAGCTATATAATCTAGATTCTATTCCGGAGACTTGACGGCATTACCTGACCGACCACCTAGCAGACTCGCCACTTCCCGCAGATTTCACAGAAGACGACACCGACAGCCGCTAGAGAGAATTCTCGAGAATCCCCAGAAACTTCACTAACTTTTTTGATATTTAGTGTTCCACTTGCATATCCATCGATTATGCTTTTCAGAACGAGTATATTAGTGGCATTATAATTAAGCAGTTGTGGATCACTATATAGCTTGGTGATTATCACTTCATCTGTCGAAAGCAGTTAGTGAATAAGCCTTTAAGGCAGGGCAGAAAAACAAATTTCTTTGGCGGATCGCCAAACCAGGGGGTTTTTGTAGATTGTTAGCGGTCCCTCCCAGATTAAGGTGTGTCCATTTCTTCAGAGGCCCCAGGGGCCCCCAAACTAAATCCGGGCCTGCGTAAGACCATTTTTTCCCCCTATTTGTATGTTATACAATTGACAATTTCGTTAAATTGAGCCTTACATTTAAAATCATATTTTTGGAAGCCTTCCATTTTATAACAAACTTTTATTGAAAATGTTGCCTTTGGGTTTTCATTGTGGCGTTTAAAGTTTGCGCTACAAAGGCAATACTTTTAGAAAAATCTAATAAAGGCCAACAAAATGATATACAACCAAACACGAGATAACTGTAAAGATGCAAATGCTAAATCGCGGTTTTTGTTTCGTGCACATGGCGGGCCACCTTCGTAAATAGCAAAATTTTAGGTTCCAAATTGAAAGATGAAATCATTCAAACTAATTTTGGGGTTAATAGGTGGCGGTTTATTTAAATATTGATTCTAAAAACTAAAAATTGTATTTAATACAAAAGTTTATTGGTGAAAACATGAAAAATATAATAGATTAATGGCTGATAAAATGCAGCAGAAATGTTACAATATTAATTTCTCCATCACAAAAACTATTTTGCTAATAAATGCCTGAAAATCCAGAGCTATTAATTATTAATAATCAGTGATGGGCACAACAAAATGGTTAATGTCAATGTCAACAAACATTTTTCCTTTGGTAATGCATTCAAAAATTCAGAGGACATCACAAAACAAGACACTAACAAGTTTTTTGTGCCCTAATCGATACAGCCATTACAATATAAGGGTTACTTTTATGAAATACTGTATTTCATCATTTGGGTCACGGGCGCACTTTAACAAAAAGTTATATAACTTCATAATTTCCAAAAAAACAATCACCATCATGATCTCCTTTTCACTGCGGACATGCGGCGAAAGGAATGTTTTACGGGGCCGACCAGGCTGTTATTCTATATTAATGAAAGGAAAACACTTTTAACTTAAGAAACCGTAATTTTAATAACTTAAGTTATAAATATTTATATTCATCAGGTCAGCTCGATATCTGTAATCCAGTGTAAATACAGAAATACAAAACCGTCAAAGATGACACATAACATTTAATTTTAGACGGAACGTGAAGGTCCGCTGCGAACGACATTTTTAACATTTTTTTTACAAGCGACGGCTCGCAACAGCGGCGGGTGGCCCGCGCCGCGCGACATTCTCGAATGTTACTCGTTTTTTTATAAAACACCGATGAGAACAAATGCGTGTGCTGGGGTGTTAGCGGCGCCGGATTAGTTGTCGCCACCCTCGGCGGGCTCGTCGCCGTCGCCCTGCGTGTCCGACGTCCACAGCGTCAGGTTGTCTCGCAGCAGCTGCATGATCAGGGTCGAGTCTTTGTAGGAGTCCTCGTTCAATGTGTCTAATTCGGCGATAGCGTCATCGAAAGCCTGCAAAATTAATTATCATGAGCCACATGAAAACAGTTGTATTTCAAAAAATATATTTATAAAATTTGAAACATTAGTACATTCTCAAGTTAAATAGATACACTCTGATGCTGGCTGGATCAAGTTAAGGAGGTTAATTTGCTCGTGTCATGACATCACCATGCTGATTTGTATTTATTAGTGTCGGAAATTTGCGATTTTTGCGATATTGTTTCTCATGCACTATTGAGGACACTTCTCTCAACAGTTAGTGGGTATAATGATTATCCTTATTATTCAAACATAGGCACACTGCAGAGATCAAGTGCGTAATTTTGAAAGAACCTGTTTAGCTAAGTGGCACGCTCGCGCAGGTGAGTTGATAATCTCGTAATAAAAGACCGAAAAGTTGAGTGCTAAACCAAGCCGAATGGGATGGGTCGGTTGCATTTTGGCCTTAGCAATGTCGAACGCCTCCTGGTAGGCCTTCTGCGAGTCCTCCACGACCGCTGGGGACAAGCGAGTATGTTAATATGCTGAGCCATACCCCTATTTTGTGCCAGCCAGCAGCAGAGTTTACGCATAACTGACACAAATAATGACCTGCTTGGCGAGCTGACACGCCTTGTCTGGAGAATTTAATATCTCATAATAGAAGACGGAGAAATTTAACGCCAGCCCCAGCCTGATTGGGTGTGTGGGCTGCATTTTCGCCTTGCTGATTTCAAAAGCATCTTGGTATGCTTTCTGTGAGTCCTCTACAACAGCTGTAATGTAAATTAATGTTAAAAGGACAGGTAATAAATGAACAAGTTATTGCGTCTTAATGTTCTGTTTTTTTAAATTTTACTAAATTTAAACTGATGCACTTTAAAATTTTACTCACAATTTCTGGTTTCTCCTGTGGCCACTTCTGCAAGGTACCTGTAGTAATCTCCCTTCATTTTTAGGTAAAATACTTTACTTTCTGGATTACTAGCTTTAGGAATAAGGTGTTTGTCGAGTAAACCCTGAAATAAAAATTTTATATTAATAATTCAATTTAAAAACATACAACACCTAATTTCATAGAATGTAATTAATAATAAAATTATTGAAAATAAATTGCAATATTAAGATGGGGCAATGAACGAAAAAGGAATAGGAGCGCGCGCAATGACGCGGCGCAATACGTCACACCTCCCGCCCTCACGTTAAAAAGCCGCACCGCGCCCCTGCCTGCATAATCTCACATGTTATAACGCCCCTTATTAACAAAATCGCTAGCCGCTGAGGAAGTGACCACGAGAAAACTGGTCACGCTTGCATCACTTCCCAATTGGCGGCGTGCGAATATTATGACGTCACTGCGTAGGATGACAATGTCTTTACACATACATTGCAAAAATAACCATTTTTTATAAACCCACTACCTATCCCATATTTTGAAAATAAAATAAGATAACCACCATCGAAAAAAGAATGGTGGTCACTTACCAAAACGTCGTAGCAGATTTCTCTGAGCTCCTTTTCTACTTTAACCCTATATTCTTTAGCCATCTGTTGTTTTCTTTCCGATCCCTCGGTTTTCTGTTCAATTGAGGAAATGACTCGCCATGACGACCGTCGGGCTCCAACTACGTTCTTATAGGCAACCGAAAGGAGGTTCCTCTCTTCGTTACTGAGTTCGACACCGGTTTCCGTGACTTCCTTCATCGCAGCCGCCATGTCGTCATATCGTTCAGCCTGCTCCGCCAACTTGGCGCGTTGCACCAGTTCCTCCTTGTCGACGGACATCGTGGTTGAGAGAGGATTATTTCACTGATGCCCCTGCAAATAATTATAAATTCCTATAATCCACGCAAACAGATACTTACTAAGACCGGGCTTTGGAGTTTTTAATCAGAAAGACTAATCTTAGACGTCAATTTCACTGATGTGAATCCATAAAGGGGTTTTTTCATCATGATTATCGCACCTTATGAGGCTCACGAGCGCACTGGCGCAATGCTAAGCCCAACGTAGCTCAAAGAGCGACTCTCACGCAAATCGCGACATCGACACGGCGTCCGTACAAATAGACAGCATCTCACAGACTCAGGGAACCAGCTAGCGTTTCGAGTGAGGCACGCGCCGTGTCGCCGCGCCGCCGCTTGGTCACCGCCACTGCGCCACCGGTATTGATCCGGCGACGCGGGATAAACACTCCAGACGAAATACGACTAGCGCGACTTGCACACGCCCCTCACCCTCACTACTCACCCCGCGTGCACCGCACCCGTCGGGTCGGCGCCTACCTTATCCTACCCCTATACCTACTATTGCCTTCATCTCGCTTCTGTTGCTAAGACTTAATAATTTGTTCCTTCAAAAAATCAATACGACTAGATTACCATATAGTACACATTTACTAATAATAGCAGTATAGTGTATTGCAGAAATGCCTTAATGCATTTTTTTCATTTTAGATTATTCTCCTATATTTTGTATTTATAGTTTTACCTAAATTTACAGAAGACTAGCAAATCAGATAGACGTTGAACGATAAAATAGATAGAAATAATACAAAAAATCCAGAGCAAATTCACACATCAATTGAATAAATAAACACAGACTACCAAGACATATGTACCTCCTATTCTATTTCTTCTTCAGATTTTCGAGATTTTTTGCGGAAATATGAGTTTTAAGCCACTTTGATTTCAAAAATTAAATTCATATTTTTTTGATATGTAATAGTAATTATTCTAAAGATGATAAATTGGTAAAGGAGCAATGGTAAATTAATTTCTATTTAAAAAAATACAAACAATACTCAGTTCTCATATTATGCACAACATACAAATATTTTGCTTGTATGTATCATGTATTCTGCCTGTCATATAGCAAAGTCATGTAGCAAATAATCTTTAAAATCATGTAGATTTTATAAGTAGTTAGTTTTAACTTGCAATATTTTTTATAGGCTCACGAGTCGACTAAGTGTGACATTGTGTGACAAAGGGTGGGTGGGAGGGGTTATTAAGCTTCGTGACGTCACATCTCAAAGAGTTCATTACTTTTGAACTATTATCAAAAAACTAAAAATTTAGAACTCTATTTGTATGGGTTTTCAATTTTTTGTTGGCTATTTTTTGGAACAAAGTTTGGAAATGCTGTATTAATAATGTCTAGATGCAAAATATGTGACGTCACACTAATAGCCGTAAACTTGCAACGCAAACTAAAAAACTGACGCTGTTTGTATGTTTTACCTATGATAGTGTTATTTTTTTATGGATGTATCCATCCATCACTGAAAAACCAGGATAAAAAGTATTCTACGTATCACGTACTTTATGGATGACTCCTCCATGAATTGATTTGGATGCAATTTAGTACGTATATAGTTTGTGATCTGAATCCAGGATCTGTATTTTATCCTGGTTTTTCAGTGATGGTCGTGCTAAATACATAAAAAAATAACACGATCATCGGTAAAAAATAAAAAAAACCAGCGGCACATTTTTAAGTTTGCGCTGCAAATTTAGGGCTTATTATAAACGATAATGCAAAAGGCTAGATCAATTTTGAAGGGTATGCCCGGTCTGGTTGTGCTCAGCAATCAGTAATGTTAAGAATATTTTTAATAACAACGAAAAAAATGTTCCACAATCTTTTAATTAGTACGGTTCGTATGTAGCTAATATGCGGCAAATATTGAGCTACATAGTATGTAGCACGATATTTTCATGGTTTTTCAGTGAGGGTCGTGCTAACTTCCTATAAAGTTAGCACACCCACTGGTAAGAAATATATAAATAGCGCGATAAATTGTTTGCGCGGCAAATTTGCGGCTAATTAGCGGCAATTTTTCCACATTGTGGATTTCGAAGCGCATGAAGTGGTTGTGCTAACTTCATGTACGCGGAAGAATGTTAGGTTCCTGTGATTGTCAAAACACAAAATTTAAAGCGGACGAAGTCATGGGCTGCCGCTAGTAATAATTATATACATATTTTAGTATGTTTTGACAACCTCCGTGGCCGAGTGGTTTGTACACCGGGTTTCATGATGTCGCCGAATCGAGAGGTTCGAATCCCGGTGGGGGCAGATGTTTGTGTGATGAACACAAGCATTTGTACTCCAGTCATGGATTTTTATTAAGCATTTCTATATAAATATATTTATTTTATATTAGTACTGTTTATGTATTCTATCCCTTACCCTAGTATCCCATAACACAAACCTTACAGTGCTTACTTTGGGGCTAGGCTAATTGGTGTGTGTTGAAAATATTTATTATAAGTTAATTCACTTTGTTGCCTTGTAATTTTTTTTTTGAGAAAAAAAACAACAATGAATTTAACAACATCTGTGGCTGAGAAGTAATATATGCTAGTTATCAAGGTGTCCCTACTCAAAGGTCCCCAGTTCAAATCCTGGTAGGGAAAATGTTAATACGATGTATATAGGCATTTGTACCTGAACCATGGATATTTATGTATATTTCAGATAGATAAATAAATAAACAAAAATAATAAACATTTAAGAATAAATATTATCTATTTTATCCGTTATGCTAGTGTCCCATAACACAAGCCTTACAGTCAATGGTGTCGATTCTGGCGTGATTCTCTAAACTTAAAACTAAATTAAACATCAGTCTCTCCTTTTCATTCTGTATAGAGAATGACAAGGATACACTGTTGTCAAATTTAAGTTTAGATTTAGAGAATCGTGCCAGAATCGACACCAATGATATCTTACAGTGCTTACTTTGGGGCTAGAATTATGGTGTGTTAGAAATATTGATTTTTTAATTTTTCATTTATTAATGAATTCAGTGAACAAAATTAATAATTCTGTTCAAATAGGGTTGCTTTAAGAAATAAAGGTGACCTGACTAAAAGTTGCTAAACAACTAGTGATTTTTGGATAACAAAATGTATTTCGCTTCTCCTCTTAGAAGTACAAATAAGTAATTACCCTCTTAAATTTCAATATAATCAATTTCATTTGAAATTCTCTATCTAATCAAGGCCAATCACTGATCACCGAGTATCACTCACATTTAGAAATAATCATAGAAATGTATAATTAATAAATATGTAGTAAATAATATTACAAACTATGAGCTTCTTAAAAAAAATGTCAAAAAAAGTAGTTATAACTGCAGTGATGATTGTACGGCAGTAATGATTCACATAAATTACTCACATGGCCTACATGTAATAAGTGAATATATTTTGCAATATTTTCATATCTTTTTAACAGACTTTCAATATTCAATTTGTTAGAATAATTTTAGACACAGCCTATGTCACAAATTTTCAATGTAAGATTTATTATATGCACAACTGAACTATCCACGCAGTTAATGGCAGCTGTACATGATGATGAACCATCTTAAATATCTGTCAGCATGTACTGAAATTTATTTAACATGTCCTCAAATACTTTAATGTTATATACCTATTAATTATTCATCCATATTTCATTACTCACTTTCACAACTAACCAACCTTATTGTTACTATAAAGAAAATTTTAAGACAATCTTTCATTGAAACAATGATATGCTAGATAAACATATTAAACACTGATTCATTGGTGGGAATGAAAAACCAATCTTGAATCTCTTTAAGGAATTATGTAAAGCCTGCAATTCATTGCTCAATCTCAAAATTCTTAGGCCCATATTACAGAATAACAACTAAGTGCTGATCTTTACTTGAGTAGCGTTAGAGAGGGATGCCCCTATGTGCTATATATAGTGACATCTCTTTCCGACTATGCTCAAGACTAGATTCATTACTGAGAATCTTTCTATAATACGGGCCTTAGAGACAGTACCAAATACATAGATACTCCCAGAATAAGTATCACTAAAAACCTTCACAAATTATCTACAAAAGTAATGAACTTGTAGGCTTTCCAGTCAGATCAGTCAGATTATTTTTGCCCATACTGGACCTGAAGCAATAACTTAAGAAACCAGCTGCACAAAAGAAGCAAATAGTACATCTAGTTATGTGCATCTACAAAATCTTGAACCATTTTAACTTTTAATGACACCCTATCACTATTGTGCCAGGAAAACATCCTAAGTCCATATATATACATACTCATAATGGCAAATATTGCATGTTTGGCTCTGTGGAGAATATTTTTACAGATCTAATATACATATAGTTCTTTACTATTAAAAATAACTCCAAATGAAAGTTTGATATGGAATAATAAGATACATAGTATTTTAAATGAAAACATTTTTCCTTGTCACATTTGACGACTGAACTAACAAGTAATTTAAAGTTATTAGATAATATTGAGAACAACTGTTACTACTTTAAATCTGCATGGCGCTATTTGCGCCCGATTCAATGTCACGCACGTGCCCATCAAGTTGAAAGGCGTAAGCCAAGCAAAGGCCATGACACACCAACGCCAGTTCGAAAACTATTAAATAGGTAGGTAAGTACCTACTTTAGCAACCCACAACTTTATCTTTCGGCAATTAATAGGTAATGGAAAGTTTAATCAGAGGTTTATAAAAAACTACAAAGAATCTTCTTTTATAACATCAAAATGTCTTTCTTAAAACACGTAGCAACAAAATTGACATTACTTATATGTCGTTATCGACCGAGATAACGGCGTGACTACGCACGGTAAAATTACGACGCATTACTATGAACGCTAGATCGGTACCTACTACACAATTGAAATTATTTTATAAATTAAGTGAAATGTACTCTAACAGTGTTATCAAATACTTAATCAATGGAAGAAAACTAACATAATCTTGATTTATGTCAAGATGCCCCAAAAATTATAATTGTAAGCGTGTTAGGCTATGAGAAGAAATCAACTTACAAAGATCTCGGCGTAAAGAAATCGATAAGGCAATTACTGGACTAAAAAGAAATTGTGAAAAGAAAATATTTCTAATCTAGGAAACATAAACTTTAAATACAGTAAATCCGAAAGATCTAACCACACCACGGAATCGTGTCGCCGGCACAGGCAAAATGGCTGCTTGAAATGAAGGGACACTCCTTCTATGCGTCACAGTCACCGACTCGAATAGTTCAATTTAGAAATAATTACACTTTATTTATTTACACATAAAATGAAGCTCACTCTAATAAACCCTAGAACACTTACTTGTTGGAAGGGAAAAAAAGTAATAGAACCAGCAAATTGCTATATAAATTCAATTTTTCTCTTGCGGCGAACGATACACTACACTGACGGCAGCGGGGCCAGAGGGGAAACAAAAACCGGAAAAGGGTTCTCATGACACGGCGGCCATTTAAAAAAAAGACAACATAGATAATATTCCCACAAACTACGCATCTAAAATAGACTGCATCTCACTCAGGCACAGTAATATAAACAGAGACCGAAATATGACATGAAATTGTCTATTCTAGCATTTAAAAAATACTACTATACTACTCTACAGGAAATACAAAACTGCGCGCAATTTAAATTTTATGTTTTATTGCTAAAAATGAGATGAAATTATAGGCAAAGAAGTACCTACCTACAATTATTTTAGTAGGTAAAATAACAAAGACTGAAACCTAATCAAGCTAAGATTAAAGATTAATTTTGATACCAGTTATTTAAAATATTACAGGTTTATTTCAATTCAACCCGAGTGTGGTCCACTCGCCCATTAGGTGCATTGGCATGCTTACGTGACCCTCAAAAGCATTCCGAAGAGCAAACCTCAATTAGTGGAATGTGTCTCTTTCTAGTAGTGTATCCAAATAATAACATAAGTCATGAGATAATAATTTTTCTGTGGGTCAAGTAACTATCTCAAATTTTCTATTCTATATCCTTACCTTGAAGTCCAAAAAATATTAAATTCCTTAAACGATCTTTTGAGCTTATTAAATATGTCGCTATATGTATTACATCTGTTTTTTATCCAATATTGAACACGATTTACATTTCTCAAATTTCAATTTTAATTTGTCAAACGAATCGTTTTTAAATAATTCTTAGGAATACTTCAGTTACTAGGATAATTAAAATTAAAATAAAACCATTGAATAATATTTAATTAATTTATTAAAAAATAATCTATTAATTAAATTACAGATTATTATTTTAAAAGTCTTAAAAAACACGACGCTGCGTTTTATCAATTGAGTTTTTATTCTTAAAGTGGCTTCCACACGATACAATTTTAAGTCCAATTTGATTAGATTGACAATCGAATTGTGTTGTGTGGACGGAAATATGAAATTGAAGGTCATTGGATGGTCGGTATCGCCCGGTTCGGGATTGCCCAATCAAATTGGGTGGTGTGGACGCTAACTGGCCAATTTTTTAACGTAGTCACTGTGCAAGCGGCGTTCAGAGCGGGTGTGTGCGTTGACTTGTCTTTTGAGAAGAAGATGGAGCAACATGACGACAATATTATGTCTATTCGATCTGAACGGGAAGTAATGGAGGCGATTTTAGATATATGTAAAGACTTGCCATGCCTTTGGGATATGTCTAACCCATTATGCGGAATAAGTATAAAAATATTGATAAAAATATTATTGTTATAATTTTTATTATTTTTAAAGCATGTAACTGCTTGATGTTTAAATCTAAAGAAAATATAACTAGAAAAAAATCCACGCGGACCAGGCAGTTATTTGTTATTGAAAATAAAAAATCATTTAATTAAATTTATATTCTACTCAATGATATGCGCGCATGCTGGGGTAAAAAAGAAATAATATTATATATATTTTTATATAATTTTTATTTTTTAAGCATGTAATTGCTTGATGTTTAAATCTAATGAAAATATAACTAGAAAAAAATCCACGCGGACCAGGCAGCAGACGGGATTCGAACCCGCACCCTTCGCAATCCGGGCGAATGCACTGACCAATTATGCTACCGCGGCCCTCACGGACCGCGTCGAAATTCTTCCAGCCATTCTTAAGTTGCAAGGCAGTGCCATCTCTTCGCATCATAGGTAATCCACAATGTCAAATGAATACTTTTACAAGTATTAAACATTTGAAAGAAGAAATAGCAATTATAGTTATAATTTTTATTATTTTTAAAGCATGTAACTGCTTGATGTTTAAATCTAAAGAAAATATAACTCAGTTATATTTTAAAGGGTTTTCGGGTGCGGGTTCGAGTCCCGTCTGCTGCCTGGTCCGCGTGGAATTTTTTCTAGTTATATTTTCTTTAAAAATATTACTCTTTAAGTATAACTATATTTAAGTTTATTAATTGAGTCACTTAAATATAATATCATTACATTTAAGTGCCTCAATTGCTTTCTTTTTAATAACCATTGTTTTGTCCGCAGTCTTCTTTTTCTTTTTTTCTCATCTACATTTGTAGTTAGACCCAAGATTAATCCAATTTTTTGCTTCTTGGTAAGAGGCATCCTAATACAAACAAGTCCGTTCAGCAGAGACAACAAATAAAACTGAAATTGGCGATCTTGTTGTGTATGTGTAGACGGACGACCAGATTGTACCCAATTCAATCGGCAATCAGTTTGGCAATCAAATTGTGTCGTGTGGAAGGGGTTTAACGTTTTAGGTACAGTTTGTCTATAAAGTCGTGACATGAATGTTTGAGGAACTAACATTATTCATGTGTCTGGCAACACCAAACTTATGTACATCAGCTGTCATCGAGTTTCAGTTGTGGAACAGTTTTCCTTTTGTATTTTTTATTGTTTGATTAAACTGTAATAAAATAAGACGAAACTACGCAGAAAGGTATAAAAATGAGTAAAGTAAATCGGAGTGGCACGAAAAAGTGATTTTTAAAGTTTTCCAGCGATGTTTCGAAGACTACCAAGCTGGACGAATATTGTGGGATTTGGATGATGTTTATGGGCGAACAGCATCTATGACGGGTATGTAATCGTGTAATTATTTGTTTGTAATCTGCCTGAAGTTACAAATTTTGAGACCAAAAAAGGCATTGTTTACATTACACATTTTTAGGTTAGATTGACATTGTAAATAGGTAATATTGTAGTACGACCATTTCTTTTGATACGTTATTATGGTTCAACTCGGTCAGGTTTTCTATCAATTTTGAATTAATTGCCTCATGTCAATAAGTTATTGTTTCTATTCCGTTACATATTTTTTTACTTTTTTTTCAGGAAAATCAGAGAGTCGGATAGTCAACGAAGGTTTTAAGAATGATGGAAAGTTTGAAACTCCTGGGAAAACAGGCAAGGCCGACCAAAGAAAGAAATGGTCACATAAAGAACCATGGCCAGATGCTTTTAGTGAAGATACCTATCACTAATTTTACTAACTGCACTAAATTTACAAATTGTTTCTCTAAATAAACTTTTTATATACTATAAAATGATTTTTAGTATTATTTTCTTAACAAGTGTGTTAAAAAACGTCGTATGATGATACTTGTGTGTATTGATGATTACCTAACGGCTCTAGTCTCAATGGCACCTCAGCGGTAATCACCAACATTACACACTTTTACACTATAAAGTACTATTTTATCTATAATAATTTTATTCTGATTCAATTAAATATGCTTGGCTAAACTTTTTATAAGCATAGGTACCTACTATATATAAAACAGAAACAAAATACGACTGTATGGTGCGTCTTATTAATTACCTATTTTACTTGAATGAACTGCTAGTATCAAAATCATTTTGGTCAGACTGTACAGGGTTGCTACATGCATACTAGTGGCGCCATCATTTAATGTCACGACTTTATAGACAAACTGTAGATTGGTATAAATTTTTTTGTACTGAAAAATATAATTGGCTATTTAAAAAAATAGAAGCTTTTCGATAACGTTTATAAAAGTATATAGTATAAATACGTATATTACAATAGTTAGGCCCCTGGGCCACAGCCCCACCTGCCCTGAGATTAATATAATCAAATAATCATGTATGTTAGATGTACAAAGTACTGTAGGCTGTAGGTGAAGGTAAAAGAGCAAAAAAAATATCAAAGGAAAAGATGTTTACTAGTGTTTACTAGTTGTAATTTGATGGATTTTTTTTTCCGAAGTCTCTATTGTAGGCAGTGCATAACCATACAATATGATATTTACTTTTTTGATTACGAAGTATTGGCTGCAAATTAAACTAAAGTTCAATATTTGCTATTAAATGGAACAATTTCAAGCCACTGTTGCTGAAGGGTCTCATTCTTAAAAATAAACTGCAATATAAACATTTATAATAATAAAATAGATTACCTTCTTTTAGTTATCAGTAAACTAAGATTAATGCATGATTATTTAATCTTCTTACGTGCATACTTGATTATCGGGATTTCTACGATCCTTGCAGGCAAAAAAAGTACTTTGCCTCATTCACTCTCATAAAATATTTGATACATGAGTAGTTCTGACCCTGGCCTTTCTTTAACTTCTTAAACAACTAAATCTCAGGTTGTACCTACAACGAAGTACCTACTTCGTTGATAGTAATGAATGACCGTACATTTTCTATAACAGTTAGAAGGTACCAAATACTATAGAAACTCTACTTTGGTTCTATAGTATTTGGTAGTACATATAGGTACTTAGATTAAAACAAAAAGGGAAGATACAGCACTTGAGGTTCAAAAGTGTACAATTCGCTTGAGTCACAATAGGCTAGTTGACCCTTTTTGGAAAAAGGTTTTAAATGGTGAATAAATGTTCTATTAGACCAGGGATTCCCAACGTTTTCTTGGTCAGGGACCACTTTTACATTATTATTTTTTTGGCACGGACCACTATTTTGTCACTAAATAACTAAATTTTAGTGTAATAAAAATAAACTGTAATAATCAAACTGAAACTTTAATTAAAAATCTAATATGATATTAAATAAAAAGAAATAATAATATTTTTAGCGGGCGCGCCCGCCAGATTTAAAATCATTCGCGGACCATATTTTGGCTTCTGCGTACCACTGGTGGTCCACGGACCACTGGTTGGGAACCATTGTATTAGACCGAAAAAAAATGTATTGTATTTTTTTGAGACCTAGGAAGCTACAAATCTTTAATTTTAAAATAGAATATTCATGGACATACAAAAACGCTGTCGGCCATTTTAGTCTATAGATTGTCTATGCTATGATGTCAATTATAGTAAACAAAAACTCGTAAGCACGTAGAAAATAACTTATTTGAGTTTATGATAAAAAGAACACGATTTCTAATAAATACCACGAAAAATAAAGTAATTAACATTATTGTATTGTACGAGAATATAAAAACACATCCTTGAAGACTCCAGGAATGTTATGGATTAAAGTGCCGAAAGAAATT